ATCATTGTGCTCTTCCCGGGCGAGGCAGATCAGTCGCTGACTTCTGGACGGCCGCTCACAGCGGCTGCTGGCTGCTCACACTGACTGCTGGCTACACACGGTAGCCCATGGCAACCCACTGCCACAGGGGCTGCAGCCTATGCCGTCGCTGGCAACTCACAGCAGCCCAGCTCCAGGTTGAGCTGTTGTTCAGCATCTTAGCTGTAGAGGGCAGCGTCACTGGCCCTCATATGTGGGATCTGAACCAGTGCCCTCTGGCATCCGAAGCCAGTTCTTAACCATCGTGCCACTTGGACAGCCCTAGACTACGTTTTAAAATGCATCCAAGTCATAAATGAGAAAACTAATTGTAAGTGACATGGGGATGTTTAGTGTATTCTGAAATTGGTTAAGCCATCTGTAAAGTGCAGATTCATCTCCTTGCCCTTTGTTTTCCTCTCTAGTAACATCAGAGTGTAGCTAGTCCAAAGGAAATCTGGTGAAGAGGAGCTGGTATGTGCTTTTGGTGGGAATGATTGTGATGGTGCAGGGTAGCCGAATGTGCCGATCTAGTGTCTTTTTTCGTAGGAGTAAAGCTACCTAACAAGGAAATAGAAGACTGCTTGTATTAATTCCACCTGGCTTGTATGTTTAAAAGATGTAGAGAAAAGAAAGCCTCTTCAATAAATGGTGCTGGGAAAATTGGACAGCCACATGCAAAAGAATGAAGCTAGAGTGCTTTCTGTCACCATATACCAAAATTCACTAAAAATGGACCAAAGACCTAAACATAACACCTGAAACAATACACAGAGGAAAGCATAGGTGCTAAGTTTATGGATTTTGGGCTCAGAGAGGATTTTATGAATTTGACCTCACAGGCAAGGGAAATAAAAGCAAATATAAACTAATGGAACTATATCAAACAAAAAAGCTTCTGCAGAGCAAAAAAAAACTATCAACAAAACAAAGAAGCAACTAACTGAATGGGAAAAGATATTTGCAAATGGTACCTCTGATAAGGGGCTAATATCTAAAATATATAAGGAACTCATACAACTCAACAACAAAAAAAGAATCCAATTAAAAAATGGACTGAGGACCTGAACAGACACTTCTCCCAAGAAGATAGACAAATGGCCAACAGTATATGAAAAAATGCTCAACTTCACAGCCTATTAGGGAAATGCAAATCAAAACCACAATGAAATATTGCCTCACATCTGTTAGAATGGCTATCATCATCAAGACAAATAATAAGAAGTGTTGGAGAGGCTGTGGAGGAAAAGGAACTCTCATGCATTCCTGGTGGGAATGTAAATTGGTACAACCACTATGGAAAACACTATGGAGGTGCCTCAAAATATTAAGAATAGAATTACCATATGACCCAGCAATTCCTCTTCTGGGTATCTACCCCCCAAAAATTTGAAAACATTTATCTGTAGAGATATACGAGGTCTGACCATTAAGTTTGCAAACTTGTTGCAACTATATTGCTAACCTTTTTTAAATATATATCAGAGGGATTATTCATTATGAATTTGTACCAACTGGACAAACAGTTAGCCAAATTTACTGTTTGTAAGTGCTGAAAAGGCCACATGAAAAAGTTAAATGACCTGAACTTTTGGCCAACAATTCATGGCTCTTGCATCACGACAATACACCTGCTCACACGGCCTTGTCTGTGAGGGAATTTTTAGCCCGTAAACAAATACCTATGTTGGAACACCCTCCCTACTCACCTGATCTGGCCCCAGTTACTTTTTTCTTTACCTGAAGATAAAGGAAATATTGAAAGCAATACATTTTGATGACCTTCAGGACATCAAGGGTAATATGATGACAGCTCTGATGGCCATTCAAGGAAAAGAATTCCAAAATTGCTTTGAAGGGTGGACTAGGTGCTGGCATTGATGCAAAGCTTCCCAAGGGGAGTGCTTCAAAGGTGACCATAGTGATATTCAGCAATGTGGTATGTAGCTCTTTTTCTAGGATGAGTTCTCAAACTTAATTGTCTGACCTCTTATGTACCCCTATGCTCACTGCAGCATTATTCACGGTGGCCAATACATGGAAACAAGCAAATTTTCCTTCGGTAGATGATTGGATAAAGAAGATGTGGTACATATATACAGAGGGTGCCAAAAATGTATACACATTTTGAGAAAGGAAAAAACTATTAAAATTGTGATAATATATACCAATCACAAAAGGTGAATACAAGTCAATCTTGACTTCTGCAATTGCAAGAGGTGCTCCTAATGGTTTCCATCAGCATCCAGACACTTGTGATTATGGGGAATTACTGCTTGAGAAACGTTGACCAAAGTGTCCACTTGTATACATTTTTTTGGAAACCCAGTATAATGAAATATTAGTCAGTCATAAGAAAAAATGAAATACTGCTATTTGTGACAACATGGATGGATCTTGTGATCATTCTAAGTGAAATAATCCAGACAGAAAAAATTGAGAACTATATGACTTCACTCATACTCGTATGTGGGATATAAAACTGAAAGCAACAAATGAGTAAGACAAATAAAGAAACAAAACTCATAGACATAGACAGCAGTTTAGTGATTACCAGAGGGTGAGGGGGAAGGAGGGAAAAGGTGTCAAATATATGGTGATGGAAGGAGAACTGATTGTGGGTTGTGAACACACAATACAATATATAGATTATATATTATAGAAATGTACATTTGAAATCTATGTAATTTTGCTAACCAATGTCAGCCCCCAAAATTTAATTTTTAAAAAAATTAAAAAAGAGGTAGAGAGATAAAATACTTCTTTAGAGAGAATTGTAGCTGATGTGTGAACAAGTTCATTAGGGTAAATATTCATACAAGAGCATGGAACTCCTTAGAATGAGAACTAGTCCAGGAAGGGGAGCATTCTGGAAACTATGTAGCTATGCTCATATTCCTATGGCTGTTTGGTGGATTGGAGAAGTTGGAAGAAAGAAATTCACATGCATACAGACTTTGAGGGAAGGGGTCAGCTTATACTATTGGGGAGAAGTCAGGGACATCTTGATGAATAAAGTATATAAATTAGAATGTTATCCAAATAGTGACTTCTCAGTAACTAGTAAGTCCTGAAAAATAATGTTCATAAAACACAAACAGGTACAACTAAGGGTATGGCATGCAGTATGCACTAGGTTACATATTATTTTAAAATTGTCTTTCTCTTGTCTCTTTTCCAGATATGGATCAATTTATAAACAGTTTGGAGGTCCAACTTAATTCAGAAAGTGGCTCGATGCCTGTATTGAAACAGGTCAGTTATCGAGAAAATGAGATGCTAATATTGTGCCATAATAGTGCTGAGGGTGGCTGGTTGGCTCAGTTGGTTAGAGTATGGTGCTTGTAAAACTGAGGTTGCCGGTTCAATTCCCACATGGGCCAGTGAGATTTGCCCTCCACGACTAGATTGGCTACAGTGAATTGACTTGGAGCTAATGGGTTCTGGAAAAAACACACTGTTCCCCAGTAAAGTTTAAAAAAAAAATAGTGCTGAGTGCCTCATAATCATAGAGCTGAAGGTCATATTTCTTTCTAACAACATGATGGTTGCCTGATGGTTGTTTGGGAGAGTGGTTGAAAAAGGTGAAGGTTTTCAGATATATAAACTGGTAGTTACAGAATAGTCATGGGGATGTAAAGTAAAACATAGGGAATATAGTCAATAATATGGTAACTATGTATAGTTCCAGGTAGGTACTGTATTAGTTGGGGGGATCACTTCTAAAATTATATAAATGTCTAACCACTATGCTATTCACCTCAAATTAAGATAAAATAATAGTGAATGTCAAAAATAAAATAAAAAGAAAGAAATTATCAGCCCTACAGGCCTACCTCTACAAGAAAAATCTCTAATAAAACAATACAACTTTACATCTAAAGGAACTAGAAAAAGAAGAACAAACAAAGCCCACAATGATTAGAACGAATGAAATAAAAAGTTCAGAGCAGAAATAAACAAAATAAACATTGAAAAACAAAAGCAATAGAAATGATCATTGTAACAAAGGGCTGGTTCTTCTGAAAGATAAACAGATTTAATGATCCTGTAGTCAAACTAATCAAGGAAAAAAGTGAGCAAATAAAAACATGAGGGAAGGGATTAGACAGCATAAATTGGTAACTACAATATTGCCATGGGGATATGAAAGACAGTTTGGGGAATATAAACAATAATATTGTGAAGATTTTGTAGGGTGTCAGATGGGCACATGTCTTATTAGGGAAACCACTTCATGGGCAGTGTAGATGCTTGACCACTGCACTGTACACCTGAAACTGAAGCTGAATAATACTGTATGTCAACTATAATTTAATATATATATTGGGTTGTCGGAAAAGTCATGATGCATGTTTGCAACAGATGGCACTAGTTCATTTTTGGAAGTACTAGAGTCATTCACATCTATGTTATTGCTATGCCATTTGACAGCTGACAGTTCTAGCTTCATTATAAAAAAACAATTGAGTGATTTGATTGAGTTTTGGAGATTTTACAACAAGTTGAAGATGGAAGACCAAACTGTACACTTTTGCCATATTTTACTCTTACTTCCATAAAGGGAAAAACACGTCAAGCTCGTGAAAAGATGCATAAAGTTTATGGTGACAATGCTCTACAAGAACGTCAGTGCGAACGACGGTTCACAAAATTCCGTGCTGGTGATTTTTATCTCAACTACGCTCCTCAGTCTGGGAGGCCCACCGAGGTTGATGATGACAAAATAGAGGCATTGATCGAGTCAAACCCACATTACACAACACGAGAGATTGCAGAAACATTGAACATCCATCATTCAAGAGTTCATGACCACCTAAAGAAGCTGGGATATGTAAGCAAGCCCGATCGATATTTGGATTCCTCATGAACTCAAAGAAGTTCATTTGACGGCACGTATAAACATCTGCAATATGCTCATTAAACGTGATAAAAATGATCCTTCTTTGAAGTGACTGATAACTGGTGATGAGAAGTGGATTGTTTACAACAATGTGGTATGCAAACTGTCTTGGTGCTGACGTGATGATTCCCCTCAAACAACATTGAAAGCAGACATTCATCAGAGGAAGGTTATGCTCTCAGTGTGGTGGGATTTTAAAGGTGTCGTGTTTTCAAGCTCCTACCAAGGAAACAAACAATCAATTTGAATGTATACTGTCAGCAATTGGACAGTTTGAATGAAGCCATCATCCAGAAACGTCCAGAGCTTGTTAATTGTAAAGGACTTGTGTTCCATTAGGACAGCGCGAGACCACACACAATTTTGATCACCCGTCAAAAATTATTGGAGGGGCTGGCTGAGTGGCGCGTTGGTTAAGAGCTGGCTTGGAACACCAGAGGGCCAGTGACACTGCCCTCTACAGCTAAGATACTGAACAACAGCTCAACCTGGAGCTGGGCTGCCGTGAATCGCTGGCGACCACGTAGGCTGCAGCCCCTGTTGCAGTGGGTTGCCATGGGGTACCGTGTGTAGCCAGCAGCCAGTGTGAGCGGCCATCCAGAAGCCAGCGACTGATCTGCCTCACCCGGGAAGAGCACAATGATGGTGCCAACTTGGGCCAGTGAAGGAACGCCCTCCACAACTAGACTGAAGAACAAAAAAAAAGGACAGCAACTTGTCTGTTCCCCTTCCCCCAATTCCCCAGCGCTGTTCCCATCCCCCAATTCCCCAATAAAAATCTTTAAAAAAATTATTGGAGTTTGGATGGGATGTGTTGCCACACCCACCATACTCACCTGACCTTGCACCATCAGACTTCCACTTGTTTTGCTGTCTTCAAAACTCCTTGCATGGTATAATGTTCAATTCAGATGAGACTGTAAATCAGCACCTTGTTTAGTTTTTCGTCTGATAAAGACAGGTCCTTCTATGAATGAGGAATTATGCAGCTCACTGAAAGATGGCAAAAGGTTATCGAACAAAACGGGCAACATATCATTGATTGATCTTTGTTCTTTATATAAATAAATTACTTTTGAAAAACATAGACAAAATACGTCATGACTTTTCCAACAACCAATATATGTATATAGTCACAGAATATGGAATATAGCATGGGGAATAGAGTCAATGGAATTGTAATAGATATATACTATGTTAGAGGGGTAGTAGATTGGGAGAGGGGGTTCTCACTTTGTGAGGGGTGAAATGTCTAACTATTGCATTATTTTGTACCGTGAAACTAATAAAAGTAGAGACATTAAATGTGAGGATTTTCATAACTACAAAAAAAGATGAAAGAGGAGAACTGGCAACGGACACAACAGAAATACAAAGGATTATAATAAAATACTATGAACAATAAATTGTACAACCTGGAAGAAATGGATAAACTAGAAATAGACTGTCTTCCAAGACTAAATCTAGAAGAAACAGAAAATGTGAACAGATCAATAACTAGTAACAAAATCAATGGGTAATCAAAAAACTCCCAACAAACAAAAGTCCTGCACCAGATTGCATTACAGGTGAATGGTACCAAATTTTCAAAGAATTAATACCTATGTTTTTCTAACTATTCGAAAAAATGAAGTGGAGGGAAAGTTCCCAAACTCATTTTACAAAGCCAGCATTACCCAAAACCAAACCAAGACACTCCCAAAAAAAATATAGGCCAATATCCTTGATGAACATATATGACAAAAATGTTCAATAAAATATTAGGAAACCTAAATTAGCAATACATTAAAAAGATCATACACCATGATCAAGTGAGATTTATTCCTGGGGTGTGAGGTTGGTTCAGTATCCACAGATTAACTTGATACACCACATAAACAAAATGAAGGGCAACATCATATGATCATATCAATAGATGCAGAAAAAGAATTTGACAAAAATCCAACATTCATTTATAATACAAACTCTGAGCAAAGTGGGGATAGAGGGAACATACTTCATCATAATAAATGTCATGTATGAGAGACCCACAGCTAACATCATATTCAGTGGTGAAAAGCTAAAAGCTTTTTCTTTAAGATCAGGAACAAGACAGGGATGTCCACTTTCATCACTTTAATTCAACACAATATTGGAAGTCCTAGCCACAGCAATAGACAAGAGAAAGAAATAAAAGGCATCCAAATTTGAAAGGAAGAAGTACAACTGTCATTATGTGCAAATGCCATACTATATGTAGAAAACCCTCAAGATTCCACCAAAAAATATGAGAAATAAATGAATTCAGTAAAGTAGCAGGATACAAACTTAATATTCATAAATCAGTTGCATGTTTCAATATTATTTTATATTAATTTCAGGTGTACAGGATAGTGATTAAACACTTGTATAATTTAAGAAATGATCCCCCTGACTAGTCTAGTACTCCCCTGGCACTATACATAGTTATTACCCTATTATTGGCTATATTCCCTGTGCTTTACTTTACATCCCAATGACGATTTTGTAACTAACCTTTACCTTTTCCACCCTGCCTTCCAAACCCCTCCCATCTATCAATCTATCACCCCAACAAATATAGTACCAATATGAAACATATATTGTTATTAACAATATTGACTGTATTCATTTTGCTATACCATATATCTCCATGATTAAGGTGTAACAACCAATTTGTACTTTTTAATCCCTTCCCCTTTCTTACCTCAAACCTCCTCATATCTGGCAACCATCAATATCATCTCTGTATCTATGCATTTGTTTCTGTTTTGTTTATTTATTTTGTTCTTCAGATTCCACATACAAGTGAAATCACATTGCATCTGTCTTTCTCTGTGTGACATACTCCACTCAGCACAATACCCTACAGGTTCATCCATGCCACCACAGATGGCAAGAACCCATTGCTTTTCATGGCCAAGCAATATTCCATTGTATATATGTGCCACCTCTTCTTAATCCATTCTACCATTGACAGACATCCAGACTGCTTCCACATCTTCGACATTGTAAACAATGCTGCAGTGAACATATGATGCACGTGTCCTGTTGAAGTAGCATTTGGGTTTCTTCAGATAAATACCCTGAAGTGGGACTACTGGGTCCTCCTTTGTCTCTTGTTATAGCCTTTGATTTAAAGTCTATTTTGTCTGGTATAAGTATTGCTACTCCAGCTCTTTTTGTTTTTGCTTTTCATTTCTATTTTCATGAAATATCTTTTTCCATCCCTTTCACTCTGTGTGTGTCTTTAATCTGGGGTAATTCTCTTATAGGCAGCATATGTAAGGGTTTTGTTTTCTTATCTATGCAGCACATCTATGTCTTCTGAGTGGAGCATTTAGTCCATTTACAT